TGAAGCCAATAGAATGAATTCCATGGACTTTGGATCAGCCCCTCTCTCTGTTGTGTCTGAAATTAGATTGAGCTATTCAGGGTATAGGCAGTATCTGTAACTGTATATTATTATTGTAAATAATAATAATAATAATGCCAATGATGATTTCTGGAATAAATCATGTCTGTAATGAAAAGGTCCCATATTTTCATAGTTCTTTGTTTCTATAAACTTGAGGGCTATTGTCCACATTTTAACTTGTGTGCTGGGCTCATCCATCTTGTTCTCCATTTTATTCTGACGTCTTCACAAAGACAGTATTGAGTTGATCAAGAATTTCCATAGAGAATTTAGCCACAGAGACTTGTTTTTTAAAATAATAATAATAATAATAATAATGTTTTTCTTATTTCTTGTTTGATTTGACGGATTCAAATTGGAACTCTTCATTTGACCCAGACTGCAGCTATGGTTCCAAAAATCCAACCCCTTTATGGCAGCACTTTTTTTCCTTTAATAGCAGACTAATTGGCCGACCAATTAATCTGCTCATCTGTGAAAAGAAAATTTATTGCAATAAGTAGATTCATTTCCAGAAGTCATTCTCTAAGGTAACATTCCAGTGGCCTTGTTTACTTCATGCCCTGCAACACGATCCAACGCCTCACCAGTAGCATAGGTCAATTAGTGGACAAATTAAGCAATTATTAGCCACTAACAAGGGTGACTGGCATCATTACCCTTCCTGTTTACCACCAAACTGTTATTTTAAGACAAAGACCAACAAATAAATTAGGGCATCTGCTGTGTCTGCCTTGAAGTAAATGATATTAAATGGGGTTTGGCTGCTGCCAAATTCTTAACCTTGGCCTAATGAGATACACTGATATGTCTCTTGCTGATTATAGAAACTGTAAAATGTAATTTGTGTTGATTTATTAAAACAAGAACCAAGTTTTGTGAGGCATTTTTAAAAATAATGCAGCATCTATCTTTTAATTTTAAATATCTTTGGATAAGCAAATTCCTCTGTAGGAAAAACTCTGATTTGTTGTGGTTGTTTATAATCATTTTACGATGGGGTGTGAATGCATAAATATATTTTCCTTTTGTGTTATGCTCCCTGGGACTATTCTTATTTCAGTGTTAGACTTCAGAGGCTTTTTTAAAAACTCTTTACTATTTTCACATATGACTCACAATAAGAAGACATAGCCTTCCCTCACAGATAAAAACTGAAGCATTTATTCAGCTTCAGTTATCCGTAAGCCTCAAAATACGGAAAAGTTAGAGCAACTATCTCAATAGGAGCATAGTAATTGGAAGATAGTGTGACCTTGTAGGTAATCCATCAGCTTGGGACTCAGGAGATATAGGTTCTAATTCTGGCTGTGCCACCAGCCTAGAGCATGATATGATGTAAATCGTATCATCTTGTTTTCCCCATCATCCTTTGGCTGTCTTGTCTATAAAGACTATAAGCTCGTCACTGCAATGATTATCCCTTCTTATGTGTTTATATCGGGCATCGCATAGTGGGACCCTAGGTGGACAACCTATTGTAACAGGAAGAATAAATAAGAAGAATCCCACTACAGAGAATTAATCAGGAGGAGGAAGTTTTCTGGGTGGCTTGTTACAGACCTTAAATCAAGAAACGTGCTTACAGCAAAGAATAAAGGGTGGTGTCTACACTGCAGGTAGGCACTTAGGGCTGACTCAGGCTAAGGAGCACTTTGACTGCTGTGTAGATGATCAGGCTTTAGCCCTAGCCTAGCTGTGGTACCCTCCCATCTCACATGCATCTAGCGCCTGGGCTTCAGCCCTAACGCAAACGTCTATGCTGCAATTAAACAGCTGCTTAGTCTGAGCCCCACAAGTCCAAGTCAGCTGCAATGGGCCAGCTGTGGGATGTTAATTGCAGTGTAGAAACACCCCCACTGTCACCTCAGTGCTTTCCTGCCAATAAGCCCTTGTCATCATTCAGACAAGCTATTTGAAATGCTCTAAATACCCGCCGCTACCAAAGTCTTCAGTACAAGAAGCGAAGAGTTTCCTGTGTGAAGTTTAAATCATCAGTGCCTAGATCTACAAGTGAGACTGCGTTAAATAACAGAAACAGAGCAAGAAAAGCCTTCATCAAGTCCCATCAGAGGCAAAGGTTGCCATAGGAGCAGAGCGCCAAAAGTTCAGACACAGTGGGGCTAGCAGCTAGAACAACTACCAGAATGAAAACGGTAGTCGAGGGGAATCCGAGGCATTTGTCCATGGGGAGCCCTCTAGTGGTGCTCACACTGCACTATTTTAGAAGCAATTGGAAAGCAGTTGCAGCAGCTGAATATAGCTAGTCCTGCTGTGTTTGGGTATCATTAGTAAACATAGTTACTTGGGACCCTGGCTCTACCCATTTGGTTTCTTTGTGTTCTTATTATGCCAAGAAAGAAAGACGTAACACTAACTAAAAAGCAGATCAGCATTCAGTTTTCTTATCTGAGAGGAGGTAGCTGAAGAAACATCTCCTAAACCATATAAATTACAGCTCCAAAAGTTCAGAATGAGTCTCTCTCCCATTGGAAGACCTCCCTGTGGAAAGAGATCCTCTCTCCTTCAAGCTCTGCAGAGAAAAAAAATCATTAGTTGACCAAAAAGTGTGGATGTTTAGGCTCGGTGATGGACTATTTACCTAAGAATCTAAAGGTGTCTCCATTATGCCAGAATGTAGAATTCACTAACAGTAGCAGCAGTGGTTTAGATCTGCTTCCAGTGTTTAATGTACAAAATGGATATTAGCAAATGGGTCGAAATGAGGACTGTTCAGGAGATTTTTGGACTCCACTTTAATTTTATGTGTTTGCCTTGCAAAAGCCAAACCACTATGCCAACATGGTCTGTGGAATTCAGATAATAAACATTAATTATCCCATAAAAATAAGAGATGCTAGAAGTTGTCAAAGTCATTTAATTATTCCAGGCTATCCCATCACTGCTGAAATATTTCTTGCTCTATATTTCTTCCTGAGCTCTGTCCTACCCCGTTTTGAAAGACACAGGGGATGGGGCTCTATCACTGGGTGGACCCACCACCATGGCACAACCTTCCAGTAGCACTGGGAATTAGCTCCCATGCCTGCAGGGCTCCTTCCTCTGGCTGGTGTCTCCCCATGTCTTCACGCCACGTGCTTCCTTCCAGACCCGCGTCGCTTCCAGACCATGGCATTCTCCTCAGGACACTGCCCTCCAGCAGTGCCCACTCCAGTGTCTCTCAACTTCCTTCCGTGGGAGAGGGGTGTTTATCAGTCCCTGCACTCTTAGGGTCCTGCCCTCTCAGGGAACATCCAGTTCCCCTCTACCCTCCTTGCCTCAATGACCCACTGCCAGTCTTCATCCGACCCTGCCTCAGGGGCAAAGTGCAGTCTGTAATGGCCGCTCATCATTGGCAAGAGTGTGTGGACCTGCTGCCTCTGCCTCCCCTGGATGCCTCTCCTCATCCCTAGTAGCCTCAGGCCTTGCTTCAGGCTCTGCAGCCTGGGAGCTTGCCTGGCCGGAGCTTCCCCAGCCCTGCCTTCCTTCCTCAGCCCTGCTCTACCTCCAGATAGCCTCCTGCTTCCCAGGCAACCAGGTCCCTCCTGTTCTCCAGCCAACGCAAGACTAAGTCCTTCCTTTTTCTATCTCCAGGAGCCCTTCTTGATATAGCCCCCAGCGAGGCCCCAATGAGCAATAACTGCCTCCGCTGCAGCTTGACTCTTAGCCCTCACTCAAGGCTGGATTTTGCCCTTAAAGGGCAGACACCTTGTCACAGGCTCCCAGAACGTCTGTGACATTTTCCTAATCTGTTTTAATTTTCCTCTGCTTAGTTTGATCCGGCTCCAGTAGCTCAATGATTTGCTTTATTCTGGGGAAATGCGATAGGAGTTCCTTGCATTGCAGGATGGACCTTCCAGGAAACAGAAAATAGTTCTGATCGATCTCTAGGTGTCTCAAAATGGCAGAGGAGCTCAATTTGCCATCACATTTGTTTGGTGGCAAATACTCGTATCCGTGTCAACTACGCGGAAGAAGAGGCGTCAAATCAAAACACAACACTGCCCTTCTTCTTCCCCTTCCTGTTAATGTGGCCAACCCCTTTCAGCACGTTAGTGGAATTGTAGGTGGCAAGTGTTCCCTCCTCAAACACCAGTGTTAGGGTAAAGAAGATGTACTGAAATGGTCTGAGCACATGATGAATGTAGATCGGAACCCCTGTTCTAATGAAGGCTCTTCTACTGACGGTGATCTTAAGGAAACATACTTAAGGTCTGAGGACAAGTCTACACTGGCACTTTACAACGTTGTAACTTTCTGGCTCAGGGGTGTGAAAATGCCCTCCCAGGCATAGTAAGCTACAGCGCTGTAAAGCGCCATTGTGAACCAGGATACAATGCTGTCAGCTACTCCCCTGGTGGAGGTGGTTTACAGATAGCACTAGGAGAGCTCTCTCCCGGCACTCATGCCACGGCCACGCTTTTAGTTGAAAGCGCTGCCATGGCTGTGCTCTAAACTTTTAAGTGTAGACAAAGCTGATGTCTCGTCCACCTTGCATTGGTTTTAAACTGATGTAACCCCATTGAGGTCAGGGGAGTTACTCCTGATTTACACAGGTGTAAGGGAGAGGGAAATCCAGCTTGTCAGCTCACTTCCTCAGTTTCCCTGGGTTTGAAATTCAGCCGGTATAAAACTATTGACTTCAGTAAGGCTCTTCCTAGTTGCACCCCATGAGGATCGTGTTTCTTCAGCTGTAACCAGGGGGTGGGATGAAGCACTTGTTTAGCTCATTGAGGAATAATAAGGATTATGTGGCTAATATCTGCAAAGCACTTGGAGAATTAAAAGCCCTATCTGAATGTTGGAGCCCTCAGCCCTGACCGGAACTAAAAGGAATATCTGTTTTTGTTTCAATGTTTAGCCTAACATATATAGGCTGAAATTGTATTTTTATAACAAAGAGGCTCTTAACATTTTTTTTCTTATGTTTCTCCCAGGTATAATTGACTTCCTCGTGAGCCAGCATCCCATAGCTAAAATACTGCGAGATCACTTGGTCTTCAAAATAGCTCCGATGCTTAATCCAGATGGGGTGTATCTAGGAAACTACAGGTACCGTATGTCACGTTGAAACAGCAAATCATAATGGATTGCTTATAACTTTGCACTGTTTTACCACTAACTGGAACACAGTTGAGTTTTCTTTGTTTGTCATTAACTGGACTTGGGGCAGAAATAAAATATTACATGTGAACTGATAACTCTCATATGGTCCAACACTATCGTCGGGTCAAAAGTCCTTGCACAGGCAAAACTCTCGCTGAACTCACGTCCCATTGAACAAGTGTATTCCGTGGTAGCTTTGCCTGAGTAAGGCATGCAGGACTAGGCATATGGTTTATTATAGGATATTTGCTCTACAAGCCCCTTTGGATGTCCGGATTAAATTCAGATCGGGTCAAAAGTCCTCGCACAGGCAAAACACTCGCTGAACTCACGTCCCCTTGAACAAGTGTATTCTGTGGTAGCTTTGCCTGAGTAAGGCATGCAGGACTAGGCATATGGCTTATAATAGGATATTTGCTCTACAAGCCCCTTTGGATGTCCGGATTAAATTCAGCTAAATCCTCACTAGACCTTAGCCGTGTTTTGTAAATGCATTCATTATGCTGTTCATCAGCCTCTATGTAAATGCTTCAGTCAATCACAATTCTCTTCAGCTACCCAGATCATCCATTAAAGTCACAGATTTCTGTCTATTATTTTACGGTAATAGGTAGTGATACATGGAATGGAATAATCATCCCATCCTATGTTAATTTTGCTTCATTTTAATATTTGAATTAGCACTTTTCCTCCTCCTCGGTTGAAAACATATCTCCGGAATCTTTTGTTTTCTCTAAAATTGTTTGCTCTTAAATGCATTTATTTACAAAATAGATGTGCTGTGGGAGGTAATAATGAAAAGCAGCTGATTAGCTGATGATTTGTTTGTGGGCAATTACATCCATCACGCGTATCTTTGGAAGAGAAGCCCCTGAGAGATTTAATGTACTGTATGCAATTTTGCTTATAATGCAGGACTAAATAACACACACTGCAGCCATAGTACCTTCGGCTGTGATCTAATTAGTTATTTAATTGTTAGGCAGGATAGGGCCTCGTTAGTGCATGGATGGGAGACCTCTGAGGAAGAACCAGCATATTGCAGAAAAAGGTGCTGATGAGTTAGTTCGTTATCTTCCATTGTATGTCACCACTGTCCTCCCTCCATTGTCTGTTGTCTTCTTAACTCCAACTGCAGGGATCGGCAAAGGCAGTTTCATGTGAGGTGAAGTAAACAGGAGGTATGTTGAGAGATTTTGGGTGGGCAGGGGCTCTTTAGAGCCACACTGACATTCCATGAATTCCCTGCTGCCTTGGAAAAGCTTTAGCTGGTTAAAAGTAGGGTTGCCAGGTGTCCGGTATTGACCCGGACAGTCTTGTATTTTCGCTTCCTGTCCAGTAAAAATATTCAAAAAATACTGGACACCTAAAATGTCCGATACTTTCTGATTTTTTTCCCGGCCAGGAGGGGAAAATCCTGGGTGCTTACCTGGTTCTGCAGGAGAGCTGTCTGACCCGGAGCAGGAAGACAAGATGGTGGAAGGCCGTCAGCAGCCTTTTGGGGCCAAAAAGCCTCAAAAGCATTTCTTAAAGAGGCCATGCTGGGTTTTTTTTGTTTGTTTGTTTTTTTGCTTAATAACTATCGGGGTCCTTTTTTTGTTTGTTTTTGTTCAACAACTTTGGTCTCACCCTTTTTTTTTTTCTCAACAGAATTTTTTCCCCGGTGTTTTTTTGGGGGGGAGGGGAGTTATTTGGTATTTTTGGTTAAACCATCTGGCAACTCTAGTTAGAACAGGCAGAGAAACAGAGGTAGGATTACGGGTCCCTTCTTTTATAATGACACTTTGAAATGGTGGCTCTGCCATGGGTGTGCATGCTAATGGTCATACCTCTTAATGGTCCTCTGGTCTTGAAATGGTTCCAGGATCCATGCCACATTAATCCTAAAATCTGCAAAGACAAAATATTTAGAGAACTCCAGTGGCTACTAAGTAATCTTCCTTTCCCCAAATAAATCTATTTGCTCTGGAGATTTTTCTGGCAGAATTGTTATTTATACACTGCTATTCAGGTGCACAATGCTTCACAGACATACATCTGGCCCATAATTTGTCGGGTCCTTTGGGATGCCGATGCCAGGTATTATGAAAGGACATTACAGTTCCATTCATAATTGCTGAGCTGATAGCACATTATCATTTTAGCCTTTCATATTATGCAAAATGTTCAGCTCTCCTGGACTAAAAGGACTGTTAATGAGGTAGCTGGAAAAGCATCTGATCTGTTTGCAATTTTTTATCTTGTTTGCAAAAGGCCGAATGTAACTAATAACTTAAAAATGAGTATAATAAACAGAATGTTACCTATTATGTTGAAAAGAATACAGAACACCAGGTAATGTAAATGATTTGTAGTAAGGTAGTGCTGAGCGAGTAATTTACAACAATTTATTTCCTGCTCTTGGAAAATCCTCAGGCTGTTCATGATTTATTTGCTTGAATTTGACTGAATTAAAAAAAAATAACCACCCTCCATGGATTGATTGCTAATATTCGAGATTTCAACACAGAGACTTACTTGTCACTGGTCAGAAAAGTCCATCTTGTACTTTTCTCTTCGCTGATTGGATTAACACACAGTAATTGGGCTAGGCCCTAAGGCCAAGAGGGCCATACAAAAGTTCTCCAGGGAGCTAGAGTGGCTCTGGAGGAACCAGCCAATCAAGAGCCAGGAGGGACTATAAAAGGAGCTGCAGATCTAGAGGCAGCTCAGTGGCAGCCCAGACCTGGAAGGAAGATGATCAGGGTTGGTTTGAGACAGCTCAAAGTGGGGAGCTGTTAGAATGCTGTCTCCATGATGACAAGTCTCATATTAAGAGGGGAAACAGTCTGAAAGACTGGATTCAGAGAGACACTTTATAGAGGGTACCGGGATGGGCCCTTGTTAGAGGTACACTCTGGAAGGAGTTTGCGGTTACATGAAAGGGTATGACTTGGCCAGAGGGCTGAGTAGCTGCAAGGCTTTTAAAAGACTGAAGGCAGTGCAGGAAGTCGCACTTGGCCAAACGGGTGCTCGCGTGAGGTGAGTGCCGACCCTGTTATGTGCACACTCACTTGAAGAGAGCAGTCATGCATACGGGATGTGTGATTCAGAGATCTATTGGCTGTGTAAGTTCTACGCTGCTGATATGGGGAGAGTTTTTAGTGCCATGCTCAGTAATTCTCCATCACTTGAATTTTCTTCATGCTATCTACCTCTCAAAGTAGTGGCGGGTGACTATTTCCCTGGTTTATTGAGGGTTCCCATTTGTCGCGATGCACGCTAACGGAATGGGCAATTAAATGTGGCACTTTGGATTGCAGATTGATCACCTGCCTCTGTCAGGGAATTTTCCCCCTACACACAGTGTTGCATAGCTGGCCAGGCACATTATGAGAGTGCCTTCAGCAGCCTCTGAAACCTAAAACACAGTGGTCACTATTAAAAAGTTGGGTTACGTCCACTATGCAGTGGCAGGTATAGTCCCTTCATTGACCTATGGTTAGAACAGAGGACAAGACAGACAAACACCCCATAGAATAGCAAGTAGCCCAATGATTAGGGCACTCATCTGGCATATGAGATATCCATGTTCAATTCCTTCTCTGCCCAGTTGGGAAAGACTCGAGCAGAACATGCATGTGAATCTAGACCTTCCTCATCCCAGGTGAAAGCATTAGGCTATAAAATTAGTCTGGCCTGATGCAGAGGAAAACAAATTCTAAAACCTCAAATGTTTTTGCAAAACAGGTTCCTTGTTTTCCAGCCAGCACTAGAAATAACCGCTGATTGATGTAAGACAGTATGGTAACAGCTGGCTGACTTTTTCATGGTAACCGCTATCTAGAAGCAGGATATTGGAGCAGCTGGGCCTATGATCCACTCTAGGATAACACACTCTCTGAGGTTAGCGCTGCGAGCCAACACAGCAACAGCAATGCCAAAATTGTCTATTGTCTGCAAACGACTGCTAATACTCCAGGGGACGGAGCAAATGGGTTGTGACTCTGTGGGGACTTTCCAGTGGTGAAATGTTCATCACCAGCAGCAAGTGAGTTTAATATCAGAGCTATAAAACATTTGTGCTTGGGGCACAGAAACATGTCCTGGCATGCTTATTTATATGCTTTGTACATACACGTTTTTTTTTTTTCTGGAACAAATATTCGTGGACATGAATTTCAAAGGCATGTGTGTCAATATTTGTGGAAATTGGATGTTAAGTGAAACCTAGGCAACTGGCTCGTTGAGGGATGGGTAGCAGAGGCACTACAGGTACGTCTACACTGCACGGCTATTTCAGGACACCAGAGGTATCCCGAAATAACGACCTTCCATCTTCACAAGCTGCCCGTTATTTTGAAATATTTTTTAAAATAACGGGCGCACTATTTCGGCATCCCGGTAACCTTCATTCCACAAGGGTTAAGGGATATCTCGAAATAACACGTTATTTCAAAATTTGGTGCTGTGTTGACATGCTAAATTTTGAAATAACCTATTTTGAAATTCAATCAAAATAAGATACACCATTTGCATAGTACAAACTGCATATCATATTTCACGTTTAGAGTGCTGTGTAGATGAAAGTGAGATGAAAGTGGTCCGGCCTCCTTCACACTGGCTCCCATTTTGGTACTGAATATCTGACAGCCTTCCTTCAGGCAGGCCTGGGGACTGGGCCAGCCAGATTTTCTGTGGCTGAGCAGTGAGGGTTAGGACCCCACTGTGGGGCACTTGGACTCAGTCACACTTTGAATTTATTCTTCAACTGTTATCAAAATGGTTGGCCACATATGGCCCTCGGTTCTAAAACAGGCCCTGAAAGAAAGAGCAGAAAATCACCAAAAAGGGCAGAGAGCTGACTTCCGCATGCTTTGTACTTCCATAGCATCATGCTGGCGGTCCCCGGTCATCTGCAGATGGAATCGAACCTGAGACCTCTGGAGCTTAGTGCATGAGCCTTTACTGCATGAGCTAAAAGCCAGCTGGTTCTCAGCTAAGGTTGTAGAGCAGACACGTTCTTCTGTCTGTAAGTGGTCTCAGTGCCACTAGATGGGACAGGGAATCACATCCAGAATATGTGTGAGTTGCAATAGCACCTTCCACAGGAGGACTTGAAAACACCTTTAATTAATCCAGCTCTATTCCAGCAGCTCTCTGAGGTCGGTGGGCTCTGAGGGCTGGATTATGTGGTTGCACGCTGAGTTGAGGGTAACATGGAGCTGCCCTGCCCCAGAAGAAGCATCAGAAGAGATAGTCTCTGAGGCACGAACCATCCTCTGCCAGTTCATCATGTGTGAGAAGAGAAAGGACAGGGCCACAGCTCCACTTCCTCACTTGTCCCCACGTCAGTGGTTGTGAAGTCTCCTTGTGTGCTCCTCTAACATGTGTTCACCAAGGGTATTTCTGCAGAGCATCTGGGTGATGTAGCTTCCAGTATAGGTAGCTGTACATGTGCTAGCTCTGCTCAAATGAATGCCTACAAATAATAACTGCAGCAGCGTGGCCTGGCCACCCAAATATTATCCTGCCTGACCCCAGGATATGTACCCACATGGCTAGCCCAAGCAATTTCCTGAGCCATGACAGCCATAGTGCTGTTTTTAGAAGCTAGTGCGGTTACGTTTGTATGTCTGTCCACCTGAGCTGGGATTTACTCCTCCCAGATGCTTTGTAGACATAAAAGACAATCACTGTGTAGTCGTGAATATTATAATTTCTAATGCCAAAAAGTGAGCCAGTGGCTTCCTCAGGCATAGAACTCTGCTCTCGTGATGCCCAGTTTCCTCATCTGACTATAACATCTTTCTTTATTTTCTCTTCGATCCGAGGGGGTTGGACCTTATTTTCAGTTAAAAGCAGAGGGATTTATGTGTTTTAAACTCAGTATCTATGAATCAGGCAAGGAGCTGTTCTCAGGCTGTTCTCATTTCTACTGGTCCATGCTTCTGTAAAGAACATCTCTCAATAGAGCCATGCTAGTGATCCATAGTAAACCCTGACATTACAGGGACCACTGTTTCCTGCT